GATTAAAGAGTAGTACCCTTTTTTAAGGATCACAAAGCATAGAAGTTAATTCTTATATTTGCACGATGTGTTAACCTCAATATTAGGTCCACGTCCATAAATCTGTTAACAGAATATCTTTATTTTGTTAATTTGTCTGCTTTATAATTCTCACTTCTCATTGAAGTACTGTACTAGATACCACGTCTCGATGTTAATGAATAACCTTCTAATTATGATGACACTTCATGAACTTGGAAAGAAAGCGCAATCAGATTGTCAATTGGTATGATTCTTAATAGGAGGTTGTCTGATGTCTTGTTTTATAATAGAACAAACAAATGAATGAATACTTTGTGGGATGAATAATGAATACCGTAGTTGGTTGAATGAATTAATAAATAATTGAATGAAAAACGTACGAATAAATCGACGATTAAATGAAAAAAATGAATGCAAAAAGAACGAATTAACAAGTGAATGAACAAACGAAGTACCGTACTAGTGTCACTAGCGAACAAACTAACAAATGAATGAATTAACATGGATGATAAATGATTGAATGAATGAATGAATGATTGAGTGAATGAGCGAATGAATGAACGAAAGAGTGAATTCATTAGATATTGAGTAATTAATAAATAAATGCATGCATGATTAATGCATAAATGAACATGATTAATATGATAATAAATTTATGATTGAATTTATAGACCTACTCCCGCTTATAAGCATATATATATATATATACATATATATATATACATACATATATATATACAGTATATATATATATATAAATATATATACATGCATATATATACATACATACATACTTATATATTATATATATACATAAATCATCAAAGAATATCTTGATTTATAATATATATATATATATATATATATATATATATATATGTATATATATATACGTAATTAAATAACTACCGTACACAGACCTAGAATAATATAGTAAACGACATTTCCATCATTCTTGATAATTAGGCCTACTTGGGTAATATTAATTAGGAGGCTCTGCAAACTTACGAAAACAATAACGAATATGGTTACGTCATCATATTTTAGTCAATCCATCCCTAACAGCATGATATCTGTCAACGTAGACTAGCCATGCTTTTTTTATGATTGAACGATCATATTCAGCTCGATGTATTGTCAAGAATGCTTTAAGTACGAATGACGATAATGAAGATGACGTATTCGTATTCTCCCTATAACACTAATGACTAATCATCTGTAAATTGTGTACGTTTCAATGAAACAGTTACATATCCCATTTATTGCTAAGCCCATTAAAACTTTTAATTATTAGCTATCCTTGTCGATTATTTTGTTATTTGTTTACTTGAACAATTTGGATTAGCGGTAGCTCTGGATGAACGTTAACGAATTAGCCACCTATGCCAAATAACCGCAGGAATGCTAAATGAATCCAGTCAAGTCCTATGACACTCAGAGGCTATCTTATCGCAAAGGAACCAAGGTAAGGAAGATCTTGTAAAGAAAACAAGATGTCCTTGCTGTTTTATAGAAAGGGTTCATAACAGGTAGATAAGGTACATCCTTGTGTAACCATGGAGGTGTGTAATCGAAGTGTATGCCGTCCCTGTTTTTCTCTCATTGAAGAATTTAAGGAACACTTGCAATATATATATTATATATATATATTATATATATACGACTATATAGTATATATATATATATATAATTATGTACTTTGTATATAGGCCTATATATAATTTGGCTACATAATTAATTAATATATAATTATATAACGTTGTATGTAATATATATAGGTCTATATATATAGGCCTATATATATTACATACAACATTATATAATTATATATTAATTAATTATGTAGCCAAATTACAGGCCTATATATACGGTACATAATTATATATAGGCCTATAAATTATATACTCATTGCTCAAAATAATGTTCAGATTTATGCATGATTATCTAGAAGTTTTGTCTCAGAAATTAATTTGTATTGAAAATAATACTAGTATTAATTATAATATAATTAAACAATAATATTAAACAAACGAAGGCAACGTGTCTCATGAATTCATTCTTATCATACTATTAAAAAAATTGAAACATAGCTATTATGATAAGTATTTTTTTGTTGGTTTTTGTTAATATTTTTCTTCTTTTTTTGTTGCCCCTTCTAAATACAGACCTAGTGTTATGCGCTATACAAGTCCACAACGATTACAATGCAAGTGTACAACCATACCGCCTAAATTTTTCGAAAAAGAAAATTATATTAAAAATTTAAGTCTGAGACTGTCATTCCCGGCCATCTACATGTTCCATAATCATAATTTTCCTACCATAGTGAGGCTGAGGTGTGTGGACCCTATATCTGTGAAGTCTCACTATAAACAATTTGATAGCGCGGATAAAGCTTTGGATAAAATACAAGCCTATTAAATTGGTATTGTGTAAGTTGCCTTGAATGTACCGGTACCGGTACTAAATAAACTTGTTCATCAGGAAATGAATACCCACTAAGTGATCAAGTAATTAAATTAGTCAATTGCTAGAGCCTTTAATCACTATTCATTGATATATGCTAATCCCCTATTACCTTACTATAGGTTTCCTCAAGTAATTACATTATTAATTAATTTTCTATTAAATTTTGAGAACATCTTGGTTTTGTGTATGTTCTGGAATGTGGCCTTTCTGAGTATTTAAGTTACACAGTATCAATTGAAAGTAAATACCTCTTAATTTGAAGTTGAATGCTCGTTATACCAAACACTTTATCGATTGTTTGGGAAAATCAAGGTAAATGAATGCTTATAACGGTATAGGTTCAATAATAGAGGGCGGCAGATAAATTATCTTAACTACTAGTATGTAGTATTTTTACTAATACAGTTCCATTACAATATTATTTTCTATACCATTTGTGTACATTTATCATCAAATAATGGTAGTAAGGCGAATTGTTTGTTGAATGTGCAATGTTTGATACAAAAGCATCTGATTCATGCTCGTTGATATAACTCAAAAGATATTCTTAAACATTCAGCATTACCACAATCATGTTTGAAACATGTTTATTACGAGTAATAATATCAATGCATACATTCTTACTTTGAACTGATGCCCCATCCATCTGAAACTCACTGACGAGTATCCAGTGTCAAATGCATAATGGTTGGTCAAATCGTTGACTTGTTATTCACGTTTTACTGGTAACGTTTATTTCCATACGTTATCATGGGGTGTGGTCAATGAATTGTAGGAACGTAAGTGGGCGTGGTCGGGCGTCACATAAAATCTCTTGGAAGTGATCCACAGCATCTGTAACAACGCCTAATTGACGCTAATAGTACGACTACAATCAACCAATCATGAGGCTTGACTAGGTAGCCTATAATGCTACCCTATCCTGGCTAGTGCCTGTTCCAAGTACCATAATGAACTATCAGTCACACTACAGTATATTATTTTATAGATTTTAATACTTACAATGACAATCTGTTGACCTATTATAATCATTGGCCTAAAACTATATCGAAACCTAAAAAGAAAAAAAACCAAAAAAAAAAAAAACCAATTTAGATCTTTAGATTGTCTTCAATAAAAATGGTTGTAGTCTATAATAATAGGCTACAATGACAATGTTATTATTCCAATGTCTTAGTTCTATTCTAGTAGATTGTACTAAGTACGGTAACACAGACAGGCTAACGGTAATGCGTAAAGGTACAAGTCGAAAAAGGTCAGTCGCGACCAGTTTCAGTGCAGCTCGTGGTCTAATCTAAACCCATACTGCATCCTTCGCTCGAATAATTCGTTTATCCGATGACCAGTCATTCACTAATCTTACATTTGATTGACAGGGAATATAACTGACATCTCCCTACGTTCCCCACAAGTCCCTCTCTCTGCTAAACATATCTAACTTACAATTACCGTAATTAGATTACGGCACATAAAGACCGTACCAAAATTGCTCATTTTTTATGTTTGTAATTTTGTAAATTAATATAATATTACATTGATATCATCACCTGATCTTATATTTTAAAAATTGAATTTAAAGACATTATTATAAAATAAGAACAAAATAAGAAAATTTGAACTCGGCAAAAAATAAAATCACTGAGCCTGCCAGGGAAAATGTTGGTACTTATATAAAAAAAAAGTAGCAGCCTATTATATCAACAGTACGTCATACAAC